GAAGGCCTTACCTGTGGGCTGTTTTGTTTTTTTTTTGGACTCGGGCACTTGGTTGAACTACTTTGGGAGAATTTGGGCAATAGTGCACGCAACTTTAAGCGTTGTCTAGGGCTCCAGACTGAGCCGCTGAGTCTGAACAGAGCTAATATTGTTCGGTTGTGGGCTGCCAGTGCAGCCATTGTGGGCCACCAGAAATGCCCCTGTAGGCTCTACCCTCAGGGTCACAGAACAAGGATAGGGCCAGGAGACCTTGGGTGAATAATCGAGTGACTGAGTAGCCCAAAGACAGGGACTGAGACGCTGGGGAGCAGCTGAGATTTCAGTGTTTGGCAGTAACAGAGCTGCCTTGCAGCCTTGGTCCTTAGGGGCATAGAGTGAGACCGGTTTTGGCGCACTGGATAAGCAGGCAGCCACTTCAGGAGCGATCTCAGTGACAAGTGCTTTCCTGGGAAAGCTTCTGCTTAGCCAAGGTTAATGGTTTAAAGTGTCTTGTAGCAGGCTGAGGAGAGACTTAGGCTCTCAACTCTGCAGGGTTTGAGAAACCAGCAGAGGCCTCCAGTTGCCATCTCATACAGTTGTATCAGCATTGTGAGATGTTAATATCTCATACCCCAGAAGATCACCTGTTGCCCACACAATATTCGGCAAGATATATGTGCTGCTTTGGTATTTTTTGTTTGTTTTTATTTCAACATTTTCCCTTTAGATTTTTTTTCTTTCTTCATTTTTTTTGGTTTAAATATAATTTTTCATTGTTGCCTTCTTTAACAATTAGAACTTCATTTTTGCTAATGTTTCTGCCCCTATTATTGTTTTTTTCCCCCAATTTTATCCCGTAAGATCTTTTGTTTGGCTGCTTTGGTTTGATTTATGGTATTTTTGTTTTCCTCTCTACTTGGTGGAGGTGGGGTACTGTGTCGGAGCAGGCTGCCAAAGAGCTGCTGACCTCAAGGAATCCTCCTAACCCAGCAGCTCCAGAGGTTGGGGGTTTTAAAGGTTGGGTCAAAGTACCCTATTGGGCAACTTTATTATTCCTGTCTCCCTCTTTCTGTACCTCTCTTCTTTTTGTCAATATTCTCTTTTACTCACTCCCCTCCTTTCTCTTTTTTTTAAATCTTTTTTTCCCTTCTTGCTCTTCAGTCTTCTTATCCTTCTGGTCCTGTACCAAAAGGACTCATCAAAACCTTAGGCCAGAGGCATGGTAACTTAAAGAGCAAGAGGAAGTGGGTGGTGCCTGTGGCTCAAAGGAGTAGGGCACTGGCCCCGTATGCTGGAGGTGGTGGGTTCAAACCCAGCTCCGGCCTAAAACTGCAAAAAAAAAAAAAAAAGAGCAAGAGGAAGTAAAAGGAAAATTAGGGCAAGGAAACAGATAAAAGAATACACTCATAAGGAAGAATCAGCAGAAAAATCGTGGCAACATGAGAAACCAGTCCAGAGCAACCCACTCCAAGAGACCATGAGGTAACTATTGCAGAGGATTCCAACTATAAAGAAATGTTAGAAATGACAGAAGGGGAATATAAAATACAGATGATGAAACAATGAAGGAAACTGCTGACAAAGTGGAAAATAACCAAAAGGAAATCCAAAAACAGAATCGAGTAAGAACAATATGAAGAATATAAAAAGGATATAGCAGAGCTGAAGGAACTGAAGCAGTCAATTAGGGAACTTAAAGATGCAATAGAAAGTATCAACAACAGATTAGACCATGCAGAAGAAAGAATCTCAGAGGTACAGGACAAAGCTCTTGAGATAACTCAGATCAGCGGTTCTCAACCTATGGGTCATGAACCACAGGAACTGTATTAAAGGGTTCCAGCATTAGGAAGGTTCCAACATACGAGTTATAGGTATTCCAGAAGGGGAAGAAGAATGCCCCAGAGGAATGGAAGCCATACTGGAGAATATTATAAATGAAAATTTCGCAAATATCACCAAAGATTCTGACACACTCCTTTCAGAGAGATATCAGACCGCAGGTTGCCTCCACTCCAATAGAGCTTCTCCAAAACACATTCTGATGAACCTGTCCAAAGTCAAGACAAAAGAAAAGATTTTGCAAGCTGTCAGGAGTGAGCGCCAATTGACCTACAGGGGCAAATCAATCAGGGTGACTGCGGACTTCTCTAATGAAACTTTTCAAGCCAGAAGACAATGGGCATCTACCTTTAATATACTTAAACAGAATAACTCCCAGCCCAGGATTCTATATCCTGCTAAGCTACGCTTTAAAATTGATGGAGAAATCAAATCTTTTACTGATATGCGAACATTGAGGAAATCTGCCACAAGACCAGCTGTATAGGAAATACTTCAACCTGTTCCACACACCCTCACAATGGACCACCAGCAAAGTAAGCATCCAGAAAGTAAGGACAGAACCTAGTTTCCACAATGATGCAAAAGACAAAACTAAGCAATGGATTTTCATAAAATAAGATGAATAATGCTACCACACTTATCAATTATCTCAATAAATGTTAATGGCTTGAATTCCCCACTGAAGAGGCATAAATTGGCCAAGTGGATTAAAAAACAAGCCATCCATTTGCTGTCTGCAGGAAATATACCTAGCCTCAAAAGATAAATTAAAGCTCGGAGTTAAGAGTTGGAAGACAATTTTTCAGGCAAACAGAATCTAGAAGAAAACAAGGAGTTGCAATCTTCTTTTCAGATACAGGTGGATTTAAAGCAACTAAAGTCAAAAAAGACAAAGACAGTCACTTCATATTGGTTAAGGGGAAAATACAACAAGAAGACATTTCAATTCTAAACATGTATGCACCCAACTTAAATGCTCCCAGATTCTTGAAACAGACTTTACTTAGTCTGAGCAATATGATATCCTATAACACAATAATAGGAGACTTTAACACCCCTCTCACAGAGCTGGACAGATCCTCTAAATAGAAATTAAACAAAGATATAAGGGATTTAAATGAGACACCCTAGAACAACTGTGCTTCAACATATATAAAACACTCCATCCTAAAGATAAAGAATATACATTCTTTTTATCGCCCCATGGAACATTCTCCAAAATTGATCATATCCTAGGACACAAAACAAACCTCAAAAGAATTAAAAGAACTGAAATTTTACCTTGTATCTTCTCAGACCACAAGGCACTGGAACTCAACTCCAACAAAAACGTTCAACCCCACACAAAGGCATGGAAATTAACCTTATGCAAAATGACAGCTGGGTGCAGGAATAAATAAAAAAGGACGTCATTAACTTCTTGAACATAACAACAATGAAGAGACAAGCTACCTAAACCTGTGGGATACAGCAAAGCAGTCCTGAGAGGAAAATTTATTGCTTTAGATGCCTACATCCAAAAAACAGAAAGAGAGCACATCAACAATCTCACAAGCCATCTTATGGAACTGGAAAAAGAAGAACAATTTAAGCCTAAACCCAGCAGAAGAAAAGAAATATCCAAAATTAAATCAGAGATTAATGAAATTGAGAACAAAAGAATTATCCTGAAAATTAACGGAACAATTAATTTTTTGAAAAAAATAAATAGTTTTATTGAAACTAGTTTTTTGAAAAAATAAATAGATAAACTTTTGGTCAGACTAACTAGAAACAGAAAAGTAAAATCTAGGGTAACCTCAATGAGAATTGATAAAGGGGAAATAACAACTGATGCCACAGAGATACAAGAAATTATCTCTGAGTACTACCAGAAACTCTAAGCCCAGAAATTTGACAATGTGAAGGAAATGGATCAATATTTGGAATCACACCTTCTCCCTAGACTTAGCCAGGAAGAAACAGATCTCCTAAACGGACCAATTTCAAGCACTGAGATCAAAGAAACAATAAAAAAGTTCTCAACAAAAAAGTGCCCTGGTCTGGATGGCTTCACACCAGAATTCTATCAAACCTTCAAAGAAGAGCTTATTCCCATACTACAGAAATTATTACAAAAAATTGAGAAGGAAAGAATCTTTCCCAATATGTTCTATGAAGCAAACATCACCATTATACCAAAACCAGGAAAAGACCCAACTAAAATGGAGAACTTCACATCTATTTCACTAATGAATATAGATGCAAAAATTCTCGACAGAATCCTAGCCAATAAATCACAACTGATCATCAAAAAAGTCATACATCATGATCAAGTAGGTTTCATCCCAGGGATGCAAGGCTGGTTTAACATACACAAATCCATAAATGTTATTCACCGTATTAACAGAATCAAAAGTAAAGACAATATGATCCTCTCAATAGATGCAAAAAAAGCATTTGATAAAATCCAGCATCCTTTTCTAATTAGAACATTAAAGAGTATAGGCATAGGTGGCACATTTCTTAAACTGATCGAAGCTATCTATGACAATCCCACAGCTAAAGTTTTATTGAATGGAGTGAAACTGAAAGCTTTTCCACTTAGAACTGGAACCAGACAAGGTTGTCCTCTATTGCCATTACTATTCAACACAGTGCTGGAAGTTCTAGCCAATACAATTAGGCAAGACAAGGAAATAAAGGGCATCCAAATGGGAGCAGAGGAGGTCAAACTCTCCCTCTTTGCTGATGATACGATCTTATGCTTAGAGAATCCCAAAGACTCAACCACAGACTCTTGGAAGTCATCAAAAAATATAGTAAGGTCTTAGGATATAAAATCAATGTCCACAAGTCAGTAGCCTTTGTGTATGCCAATAACAGCCAAGACGAGAGGCTAATTAAGGACACAACTCCCTTCACCACAGCTTCAAAGAAAATGAAATACCTAGGATTATACCAAACAAAAGAGGTGAAGGACCTCTATAAAGAAAATTATGAAACCCTAAGAAAGGAAACAGTAGAGGATATTAACAAATGGAAGAACATACCATGCTCATGGCTGGGAAGAATCAACGTTGTTAAAATGTCTATACTTCCCAAAGCAATCTACCAATTCAATGCCATCCCTATTAAAATACCAATGTCATACTTTCAAGACTTGGAAAAAATGATTCTTCAGTTTTTTCTTTTCACATCAGACGGGAAATGTGCCGATGTCATAACAACATTTGTCGGAAGCACATTTCATGCATGTGCATAAAAACCCAATCATCATATTTATGAACTACAAAAGGATCTGATTCTTCATTTTGTATGGAACTGGAAAAACCGGTGCTGGGAGAACTGGATATCCATATGTAAAGGAGGAAGGAATCTTCAGTAAAAGACTGAAACTGGACCCACACCTTTCTCCATTCACAAAAATTGATTCAAGATTAATAAAAAACTTAAATTTAAGGCATAAAACGATAAAAATCCTCAAAAAAAGCATAGGAAAAACACTGGAAGAGATCAGCCTGGGCAAAGTCTTTATGAAGAAAACTGCCATGGCAATTGCAACAATAACAATAAACAAATGGGACTTAATTAAACTGAAAAGCTTCTGTACAGATAAGGAGACAACAACCAAAGCAAATAGACAACCTACACAATGGGAAAGGATATTTGCATATTTTGAATCAGACAAAAGCTCAATAACTAAGATCTATAGAGAACTCAAATTAATCCACATGAATAAAGCCAACAATCCCATATATCAATGGGCAAGGGAGATGAACAAAACCTTCTCTAAAGAAGACAGATGTGTGGCTAGCAAACATGAAAAAATGCTCATCCTTAATTATTAGAGAAATGCAAATCAAAACCACCCTGAGATACCATCTAACCCCAGCGAGAATGGCCCACATCACAAAATCTCAAAACTGCAGATGCTGGCGTGGATGTGGAGAGAAAGGAACATTTTCACACTATTAGTGAAACTGCAAACTAATACAACCTTTTTGGAAGGAAGTATTGAGAACCCTCATAGAACTTCCATTTGATCCTGCAATCCCATTACTAGGCATCTACCCAGAAGGAAAAAAAAAAAACTTTTTCATAAGGACACTTGCACTAGACTGTTTATCGCAGCTCAATTTACAATCGCCAAAATGTGGAAACAGCCTAAATGCCCACCAACCCAGGAATTAATAAGCTATAGTATATGTATACCATGGAATACTATTCAGCCATTAATAAAAATGGAGACTTTACAGCCTTTGTAAAGTCCATCCACCTGGATGGAAGTGGAACACATTATTCTCAGTAAAGCATTACAAGAATGGATAAGCATGAACCCTATGTATTCAATTTTGTTATGAGGACAATTAATGACACAGTGGGGTGTCGGAGAAGGGGAGAGCAGAGAGAAAGAGAGAGAAGAAGAGAGGAAGGTGGAGGAAAGGAAGAGCAGAGAGAGGGAAGGAGGAAGGGGGGTGGGGTCTCGGTGTGTGACACACCTTTTGGGGGCAAGGCACAATTTTAAGAGGAACTTTACCTAACAAATGAAATCAGTATAACTTGGTTTCTTGTACCCTCAATGAATCCCCAACAATAATAAAAAAAAAGACAGATATCAAAACATTAAAAAAAAGAAAAAAAAGCATCTGCACACATGCTTCAACACAAGTGACCTTAACAACATTATGCTCAGTGAAGTGAACAAATCACAAAAAAACAAATGCTGTGTGACTCTACTTACATGGGGCCACAGAGACAGAGAAGAGAATGGAGGGAAAAGGGGGTTAACATTTACTGGGTATAGACTTCCCTTTCTATAAGATGAAGACTTGCAGAGATGGATGGTGGTGATGGTTGCACAACAATATGAATGTGTTCAATTACCACTGAACTGTACACTTAAAAATAAATAAGACTGCAAATTTTGTTATGTATTAATACATTTTATCACAATAATGAGGGGGTTGTGTTCACAGCATTACTCAATTATCAGCAACAAGGAAAGTCTGAAGGGAGCCAAACAACCACTCTTCCAAGTGAAAATTACCCCAAACAGAAACTATGTATATAACATAGACTCATCTGGTCACCAAGGGAAGAAAATTATTTTCAACTGCTATGGAAAATACATGAATTCTGCTAACGTAACATTTTGGTCATCAGGCATTAGTTTTATGACACTGAAAGGAAATGTCAAGAGTAAATTATAAGAGGGAATCAGTAAGAGAGATGCTAGTTGAATGTCATAGAGGAGACCTGAGTGCAGGGACTCTGTTCTAATTGCAGGCAGTGAAGAGTCACTAAGAGGAGCAGCTTCCTGAGCACACACTGCAGAGGGACACAGACCATGGGCCCACACGTGGCCCTGCACACCACGCCCTTGGAAGACAGGCAGGCACAGAGCAGTGGTCCAAGGCACTCAACAATGCTGCAGCTGAAAGCATTAAGGGAAGTCCACTGCACCCAATCACATGTGGCCTCAGGAGCTAAGCAGGGTTTGGCTTCAGAGTTATAGATGGAGCAACTATGGCCAGTATAGAGTGAGTCTAAGGGTCCAGAGGCCTGTGGTTGCTACTGACATGAAACGCTGGGAAGAGAGAAGTTAGTGACATCAACATAGGGATGAAGAGAAATTGCCAAGAGACCAGAAACTGGGACAAAGACAGGGAAGGAGTTAGACCAAGCAAGGCTTCTGCCAAATAATGCTGGTGTCCCTGACAGAGAGAGGGAACCAAGGGGAGAGACAGCCTCTGGAAGGTGAAAGACGAGTGTGAGACTATGTGAACACCACCCCAGATCCCAGAGGAGGGGGTGACCAGGAGGTGGTCATACTGTCTCATCCATAGGGCTGCTCCTCCCCTGATCACAGATCCTTCCTTCTCCACATTGCAGTGTGGGAGTGACACTCCCTTGGGGACTCAGAACTGCAGTGCTCTGAAAGCATGCGCTACTTTTTCAGCCAATCACTTCCACCCATGTTCAGAAGACACTGAGCAGGCAGAAATCAGACTTTCCATCCAGGCTAAGACAGGTCCACAAACATGGAAACTGCCTCTCTATGTCCACAGAGCTCTACTGGACAGAGGAGAACCAATGTGAGCCCAGGCTGTGCTCTGTGAAGCTGTCAGGGCAGGTTTCCCACTACCGTGCCAAATGCATGCCTGTTACCTGAGAAGATGTTCTTGAGATTCTCCACAGCAGCAGCGAGCTGGCTGTGCTGCACCACAGCGTCCTTCACATCCCTGAGGCTCTCGATGGTATTGATGCTCTGCCTCCAGTCCTTGCTGACATCAGCAAGTGACTGCTGGATGTCCCCGACATCATTCAGCGCATTGTGGAGCTGGCTGAGGCCGGTGCGCACGCCGTCCAACTGTGACTGTATTGCAGCCTGAGGGGACACATATAGGTGAGAAGAGCTGTATGCTGCTCCCTACATAACAGACCTTCCCCAAGGGCTAAGTCAGAAAAGAGCCACTGAGTAGCAGAAAAGAGTCAAGACTCAGAAAAAAGGATAATAAAATTAAGAAGAACTTAATTGATGCACAGGGTAACTTTTCCTTCCTTTCTTCCTTACTGCCTGGGAACAGAACAATGACACATTTCAAAGGTTTGCTGAGAACACTTCACCACACCCCCACCCAGCCTCGCACCTAGAGATAGCGAGGCCACTGCATGCCTGCCTTGGGCCCGTGCCCACCCTGAAATGATGTCCTTAGGATGCTGCCCACATTCTTCTTGGGCATCCCTCAGTTTCTAAATGGCTTTTATGTAGGTAGAGAAACAGAAGATTCTTTCCTCAGTTTGAGGGGCTGGAGCTGCTGCTCAGCCAGAACCAGACTCGGCTCAGGGGCAGGTGCACTGACCCCAGCCCCTCTAAGAGGCAGACTGGCTCCACGAGCAGCTGGAACACCACCCAGCAAGCTGTACAGGAGCTGTACAGGAGCGGGCAAGGAGGAAAAGACCAGGCAACACAATGGCTGTCAGGGAACACCTTCTACCAGAGGTTCGAAATGTGTTTAGAAACATGGAAACTATCGTAACAGACCACTCAAGGTTTCTAAGTCACTACTGATCATCATTAGTTAATCTCACAGGTTTTTAGAAAGATAAAAATAAAAATGCAGGCTAAAAATGTGGCAAGTCCAAATTGTTTATTATTATTATTATTATTATTATTTGAGACAGAGTCACTCTGTCACCGACGTTAAGAGTGCTATGGAATCAGCCTACCTTCCCAGCAACCTCAGACTCCTGGGCTCAAATGATTATCCTGCCTCAGCCTCCCAAGTAGCTGGGATGACAGGCACCATAAAACCTGGCTTGTTTTCCTATTTTTAGTAGAGATAGGGTCTGGCTACTGCTCAAGTTGGTCTTGAACTCATGAATCCAAGCAATCCACCAGCTTCGGCCTCCCAGAGTGCTAGGATAACAGGTGTGAGCCACAGGTGTGGGCCTAGCCCAAACTGTTTTTAAATTAATGTTAACCTGTTGTCTCAAAGTAGTCCAAAAGCATTTCTAGATGTGTTATCAACACAACTGAATGATCCTTGCCCTGTCCCATCAGACCAGCTGTTACCTGTCTGCTAAAACTACTTTCAAGTGGAGAGGTGAACTCACTGCCTGTGGGTGAGAATGAATCTTCCTCAAAGGCATTCTCTTAATCCCCAAAACCATTCTGCTGCATGTCAATTTGAGCAGGTTGTAGCTTTAACATTCTATAATTATACTGAGTGTACATATTTTAATAAAAATTTCACCTCTTCATATCAGCAAGTTGAAAGATAATCCAAATCATAAAATACCCTGAAAAAGAATGATTTTCTTCCTTCACGCACACATACACTTAATAAACATGTTTAATTCTGTTCCTCCTACCTACCTCAGGGCCACCATAATGCTCAGCCCATGATAGCATGTGTTAAATTGAGCTAAACAAAATGCTCTTTACTGGTACTCTGCAAAAGAGCTTTATTTATTTTACAGTAGCCTTTTACTTTTTTTTTTTTTTTTGAGACAGAGCCTCAAGCTGTCCCCCTGGGTAGAGTG